AGTGTCAGTGGAGGTCCCCCTTTCTGCAGGGGATTGCTGCAGCCAAAAAATGTTCCAAAGAGCTTTGGCAATAGCTACACGATAGAAATCTCTCTGTACATGATGTATTTTTAAAGTACTTGAATTCTCTCTTTCAAAAGAGCATTATTTTAAAGGTATACTTCGACCTCGCCCTTTAGCCACAGGTAGACATTTAGCCTTCATGAAAGTCAGAACGAAGTTTCTAAAAATTACGGCTTTTCTCCCCTTTGGATTCTTCCTAACCGACTAATAAACCCCACTGCTCAGAAACCCTCCATATCCCTGGAGGCATGTAGCGTGAATGCCATCCTATCTCGCCTCAAGACAAATCTATAAATAAGTCCTTGCCATCGTGTCCTAGATACCTCAGGCCTCAGCAGGGACGTTTGTGAACACTTACCTGCAAGAGCTGCCTGCAGGAAACGCCTCCCTCGGCTGTTAAAGGCAGTTTTGTTTCTGAGTGGGAAACGTTTTGTATATTGAAATGGTTTGCATTCTAACCTTGACTACGACCCATTGCAGGGCACCGATCTGGCTGTTAGGCTTCGGATTCTCCTTATTAAGTAAAACAAGTTTAACCGATAATTATTCTAATTTTCTAATGATGTATTTGTAAGGATAGCCTCATGGCTATGCTAAGAGGACAGTACATGATGATTTAAAATTGTTATACTATGTAATAAATAATATTACAATATATAATTATTATAATTTATAATTACTGCTCTAGAAATTTTCATTTTATTAATGACAACATTACTCTTACAATTAATGGAAAGGCTACATCATGCAAAGACACTGGAGAATGAGTATGCAAATTAATTGTGCACCTGTATGAAATAATTTAGAAAAGGACTTTTTAATATTTAAAAATCTGCTAAATATTATGATAAGCTTTATAGCACACTACATTTCAGAATGAAGCTTGAACTAACTCGGATAGGAATAAGTTATGAATTGTAAAAGGGTAGACATTATAATCAAACATTTCAGTAAATTAAAGTATAACATTCTACAATCCTCTGTGTAACAGGACCCACTAATGTAGCACAATTTTAATAAAACATATTTATTTTCTGTTTGCTTTTAATCTTCAAAGTGTTTTTGAGATATCACTTCTGTGTAAATATTGAAAATGATGATTTGGTAACCCAAATACTAAAACAAGGCATTAGGCTGATTTATTTGATCACCAAGGCCAAAAAAACCAAATCACAAAATGTAGTCAGCAATATTAAAGACTATTAACAGCCTGCCACATAACAGATTCTATAACCATGAAGAGATTCTCGATAAAATTAAATGGTCTCACACACAAATGTGTGTTCTCATTTATGAACTTTAGGAGAAAAACTCTGAAGGACCCATGTTTTTAAAAAAAAAAAAATCAAGAACACTTTCAAGAGTCAAACCATTCATTACAGATACAGAAGACCTACTCATGAGTGTCACCACTAAAACTGTCAATCAACAATAACTTTCATTAACATCTTATATCACAACCGAGCACTAAGATAAAACTAGATTTAATTATTTTATTCTACTTATGTTTTAGGACCGACCAAAGCAAATCAGCAACGTATTGCTTGTAGGTATGAACTATATTTAGAGAAGGAGTGATTCAACAGACATTGTTTAATTGTTCGGACTGTTGCTGAAATTCTGGCCCCTTTGATGCTCAGCAGGTATTTTGCCATTGACATCAGTGAAGCTGCATTTCACCCAGCCTGACGGCTGCTAAAACAGCTACAGACACACGCATCAGGATGAATCTGGCACTAGCGCCTACGCTGGCTTATACCTGGTAACGGTGACCTTTACTCAGTTTGGTAATAACAGTAACTCACCCGAGATGTAAATTGTTGCCTAACAAACTGCAGGTAAGAGTTTCTAGGAAAGCAGGTCCCGTAGCAGACGGCGCAGTGCAACGTCGGTACTGGCACTGCCCACGTGCACAATACAGAAGGTGTATGGGGAATTACAGAATTCAGAGAATCACCCGAATGCCATCCAGTGGGATGCAAACGGGTCGACTATACCTAAAGTCATCTGGACAGCAACAAAAAGTAGCAGCTACGCTACTTTCTTTAGAGACAGGAGATGGGGAGAGAGTAGGTGTTGCCACCTACCTTCTGCATGCTAGTTTAGTGACAAGAACACTCACCCGGCAGGGGAGACCTGGATTTTATCCTTTCTGTAGCTCAAGGCACTTCAAATCCACAACTTCCAAATGCCAAAATACCGCTTTAACTGTGACACTATATAGACAGAGCCAATCTCCACACTTCCCTTCAAAGCATAAAGAATTCAAGAACTTTCAGAAAAGGGTATGAGGAATAATTTTGGTTTCTTGTTCCTGCCTTCATGATTCTTTTAATAGTAGAGTCTCCTTTGATAAAACGCACTAAGGAACGCTATGAGCAAAGGCAGACTGAGGACTGGCCTCCTTCCTGCGTAGAGAGGCCCTGTGAATGCCTGTAAGCCTCTGCATTGGCTTCTGAGTGAGTGCTCTGACATTATTGTCAAAAGTCTCTTCCCCTGACCTCTGTCATAAAAATTGACTTTAGCTCAGTTAAGTGACTTTCTTCAAGAAAGCTGGGCTCTATGCTAAGTGGAAAGAGATGCTTTACGTACAGCCCTGAATAACTTTCAAAACTCCCAAGGAACGCATCGCGGCTTCACTGGCATTTCCTATGTCCTGGTCCCATTCAACATTCTTAAGGAACCTTTGGCAAAATCCATGCTCTTTGTACAGGTAATCAATGTAACTCCTCCGTGCTTGAACCCTGACTTCTTGAATCTTATTCCCTGGCTTGATCTATGATGTCCTTAACTTCTGCTGATTGCATCCATACCTACCAGCGCCTTTAGCTTAGATACTCTGAACCTCACTGTTGGAGCAATGCTCTTTTGGGGCGTCACAGCTCGTAAATGGCAACAAGTAACCAGGACTGATGAAAGATGAAGAAAATTTGAGATGAGGAGCTAAGTGCAAAAAAGTGAATAGGAAGAAAAAGACAGCTGTAGATACAGATACAAATGAAATAACGGAGCATTTAATGAGTTACCAGAACTGAATACGGAAAAAGATGGAAAGGTGAAAAGAAAGGCTGCAGTTACAATCATATTTTTAATATCATCCAGTTGATTTTAAGCAATGATATTTCGAGTACTGTGAAGCTTCTTCCGTTGTAAGCAGTTGCCAAAGTAGTAGTAATTGAAGCTAGGTGATCTCTGGGGAAAGGTACTGCTCAGGAGCAGACTCATGAGAGGGTCACTGCTCAGTAAGTGGGGAGGGGACAGGGGGAAAGTTAGGAAGAGAAGGAAGAGAAGAGACAGACAGATGTGTTTCTGCCACCAACTTCAGTGTGCTGCCACAAGACTGTCAGATCTCACCCCCACCCAACTCTCTCTGCGACCAGTGGAGAAAGACCAACCACAGGTATGACTGAGGTCACCTAAGATCTGGTTTGCTCTCTGGAAGTGACTATCTCTATCAGCTAAACAGGAGAAACTGAGTAGGATAACTACACTCCTAACTTCAGCATTTTTCTTATGCACCTAAGTTTAGATTATGTGAAATATTTAGAAAATAAACTGTTTTTAAAATTCTCCTCAGTTCTTCAACATTTCCTTGTATTTAAATTTAAAAATAAGAAAACTTTTTAACATCTCAAATTTTCCAAAACCCCTTGCAGCTTCTGCCCATATATTGTTCATTGATCTCATGGCTAGCATATTAAAACAATTCATGAGAAGCTCATTAAAACCTAGCAAGAAAAGTCTTCTGGTGCATTTCATCAGAGGAGATAATAACCTACAATCTAGAGCATGAATATGTTATAAGAAACAAAACAGAGCCATTCAGACAAAGAACACTTGGAATGTATTGTTCCCATAAGCAGATGTTAAATTACTTCACCGTAAAGTGGAATTTATAAAACCCGAAGAAATGTTATTTTTATGTGAACAAACAAGATTGGTTTATTATTTCAGCAGGGTGACACAAAATTCTTGTACATGTGTCTCACCATGTAGGCAGATGTGTTGAAAGTAAAAACTAATTGTTGACCAAAAATGCTACGTGTACATAGAAGTACTGACAGAGCAAGACAGACTGGGTGTATCCTGACTGGTACACTAGCTCAAGCATGCATATAATTGTTTTGAAAACCTATCTCAGATAAGCCAGCTGGCTCAAGATTAAACTGTCATCAAAATGGAGCTATAGATCCTTGTGTGTAGACAGGACAAGGACCAGAGTCAACTCTGAAGTTACACCTTGAGATAAGAGGGATACAAAGAAAGCTCAGAAAAAGCCTCAGCCTTTCCTAGGAATTGTTGGTATCAAATACATCCAGCATAAAGCAAACAAAAATATAAAGCTGACTTCATGCTTGGGTAAACACCTCAGGGCTGTCACATTCCGAGGGGTATTGATCTTGGTCACACGTTCACGGTTACTTTTCTTACCAAAAATAGATCTTTAAAGTCCATAGAATATTCACTTCAGAACCGTTAAAACCACTAGGGCTACAATTATCTGTCATAAAGGGCCTACTGATATTGTTTGTAATGCATTCTCACAGCTAGGTGTAACAACATAAAACTATGTGTAAAAGCAACATATTAAATACCAATGTACTTACATCAGTGTCAGGTCCCTTGTCAGCCCCAGGACAAGAGAAGGTAACAAACTCATGGCATCTCTTATGAACCACAAAACAGCAAACTAGTAAGAAAAGGGAAACCAACAGTTAGAATGACATAGGGGTTTTGGGGTTTTTTTCTGTTGTAACAAATATAATTACAGAGGAAATAAAACTTATAGTCAAATATTTCACCTGTAAGTCGATGAAAGAAAGTAGAGCCTAATGTTAAATAAAGACACACAAGAAAGGCAGACGTCAAGTAAACAATATAATTAAAGAGGAGATAAGCATGCACGTTTAAAAATCAAAAGACTCTACACAATGATAAATTTTTAATGTTTAAGACAGTCCACAGTGTTAAAATATAGTGTGGGATGAACAATTCCGTGAAGCCACATTTCCTGAATCTAAATCCATGTCTGTAACAGGCACTGTCAATGTGCATTCAGGCAAGAGCAGGAGGCATAAATGAGGAACGTTAAGCTGGAATGAAACCCATCCTGGGGTGTGGGATTTCTTCACCTGCATGCCTTGGTGAAGATGCCTACAAAGATCTAATGTCTTTCCTAGTTAACTACTTCTGTGAGAAACCAAAGCTCTGAGTGAAGACTGCTGTAGAGAACAAAGTGTTCTCATATCACAGAATGGCAGGAGATAATGGGAAAAGAAAATTAGCTCCTGATTACAATATGACTCCCATTTAAAATTTATGAATGATCTGAAAGAACTTTTTCTTTCTGAGATAAGGAAAGCTTATTTTAATTTAATTAGGTCACGTGACTGAGGCTATAGGTTGTGTCACACAGCATAGGTCATACATGTCCCCCCAAACCACACAAAAAGAACAATTTGCTTCAGTGCGCTTACTTTGAGAAGCAGGTATTTTAGCTTTTCACCCTCACTACAGGTTCTTTCTTAATGTTGAGCTTAGTTCAGATATTTCAAAATTGGTCCACATTTCAACAAGACAGAACAATCTAGATTTGAGATTGTAAAAATCTTGAAATAAACACCATAGCATCAAGCAATGAGTCGGGAGATTATAACGAAACAACTCAAAACTAATTCACAATTTCTTTACAGATAATACATTCCCTGAACGCTTTAAATTTTGCATTTCCAATACCTAAAAATACAGTATTTCAAAGGACACTTCTAAAGAATAAAATAGATTTCAATTGATTGGCAATTGCAAACACTGAATTTCTTCAACTTCAGCAGAAACCAAATTGTTACCTCAATTCTTCTAAACAGCTCATTTCACGAGGCATCTTTAACAGTTCTTTTTCCCATTTAAAACATACATGAATTTCTTTCACCTAATGAAGAGAGCTGAAAAGATGTTATCAAATGCACCTTCATGCCATTGCAGCATACAAGGATGATTCCACCATAATGCCAGGCTGGCCTCATTTGCATCCTTAAGTCAGCCGTCTGGCTTTAAAGAAGTCTGATCACCCCTGTATCTTTCTCCAGCTATTTTTCGTCATCATCCCATGCAGCAATTGTTTCCAATGGTTCTATTTCTGACATGGCATATGTTTATTCTTTGGGCAAATGGAGTAAAATGGGCTTTGCTCCACTGATTCCAGATAAGCGCTGCTGACTTCACATGAGCCAGAGTTCTGGCTCAATGTATGCTGCCCACTTGGTTGTCTAGTTTGTTAATCAATCTAAATCCCAATGAATCCTACAATTATCATTTCGATGGTTTGTTTCTACCAACTGAAAGACCACTAAGTGGCAATTACTATTAATATTACTTGCAGCTGAAAAATGTTTCACTTCCAGATTGTATTTTTGGTTCCAAACCTTCCACTCTTGAAGACAATAGCCTGATTTATGTTTGCAGGAGTAAATCACACGGAAAAAAAAAAATCTTGTTACATCCTTCAGAAAACAAAAAAGTTAATAATTACTTTTGTATGCAGTGATCATACAGTTGCAAAATACAACATAATAGTCTATGCAAAAGATCTGAGAAATATCTCTGGAAAGTTTGTAGAACTGAGCTGCTTTACCGATGCCTACCCTTCAAATTAGGATCTTAGACTGGCTACTCCAGCTCTGCCTTTATTCAGCAAGAGTGTACGTTACAAAAACTCTGCATATTTGGGCATCTATTTTGGGCAATATTTATGAAATACCGTAGTCACTTCCTATCTCTGAGTTGACAGCCTCTCACAGTGTGTTAAAGAATTCATTCAACTAGAGACAATGTCAACCTTGTTTTTAATATGGTATATCATAATTGTCAAGATAGATACATAGGAAAAACAGTGCCACTCTTTGCTACAGCCTCGTTCTATGGTTATGACCTGAAGCTACTAAATTCCGTGAAAACGATGCTAATCACACTACAACAGAAACTCCAATACAGCTGCCAAAATAAGTAAACCAGACAGCATTTGTCCTCTTGGACTTTAAGCTACGCTTCAAAAAAAGTCACTTAAGGCTTCAATTATTAATGTTGACTACTGAATTTAAAACCTTTCTGTTCAGTCTACTAACAGACTGACTGTTGCGTGCACCTCAACACCGACGGTCTCAATTCTTTTTCCCTGATCTCCCATTTGTATTTGTAATGGTTTACCAAAGTCCAAAGAACTTGGTTCCTTAGTAAGCAATTCAAAAGCATCAGACCTGTCTCACCTTTTGAGAATACTCAAATGAGAACCAAATAGTTTGACACAAAAATAAACAATGGAATAGGCAACTCTCATGGAATCATAAATCTAAAAGGAAAAGGATAAGGATGAACCAAAATCCCTTGTTAGCAGCCATCATTTCCATACAGAAAATTTAACATCCAAATTTTCATTTTGAAATGCAGCCATTAGAGTGTATTTTAGCATTAGTTTTTAAAGTTTTCTTAATTTCACAAAGCAATACAGAGCTAGAGAATTCATGTAAAAATTTACTTAGTTCAGATAACATTTCGTTTGCACTTTGCTTAAAATAACATGCCTTTTTTTAGTAATAGAGATGAAAAATAACCTCTCACTTGTTACTTGTTTTGAAAAGATGTTAATAGCTTCACATCACTTATTGCAGCTGTTAAGAAGTCACATTATGTTCATCACCTTCTTGTAATGAAAGTTGTATTACACTATTTTGCAGAGACTGCCAGGAAATTTGTTGCTTTACATTTTAACAAGAGTATAAGTAGAAGCGAGCTAGCACACATTATGCATAGTAGCTCGAGAGCAAGCGGTATCTCGAGGCTGACAGTTAAAATTAAAAAGAAAATTATTGAAGTATTTTCATGTTTTGACAGCGTGATTTTGATCTGTGGTATATATAATACAGTTGTGAGCTTCCATCCTGTCCAGCTCTGGACTTGCTGGAGATAAATACTCTCTGAGCAACCCAGGGAGTAGGCGTGGGAGGGCACGGGGAGGAAGGGAGAGAACAAAACAGGCCTTGTGTTGCAAAAACAGACTAACTGCTAGTTGTTCGCTGGCATGCTTCATCTACCAGGCTGATCTCTCGCCCTCCATCCTCCCAGCAATGCTACAGAGAGCAGAAAATGTTAAATGGGTATCATGAAAACAAGGAAGAATGTGGTAAGGAGCACGCAATGCATTCTCAGAACAAACAAGTAGAAGATGCACTACATGATTTGTGGGATTTATGATACATAATGGAGGGCAATTCATTCTATCCAACACTTCTCTGTCAGTGCACAGTACTGAGAAAAACATGTTGTTATTAATAATATACATATATATTGTCATCAGTCACTTAGAGTTACAAGGCACTGCTGTAAATTTCAAACTGTTTTCTAAATTATGTGATGTGCAAAGATTAGCATGTTACATTGTCGGGTGAGACTTATCTGCTAAAAAAAAATACTGTTACCAGTAGGCTTTCATATATGACACAGACTGGTGAGACAGAAATGAAATATTACAATAATAAATAACAGAAGCAATCTTCTCTATTAGATGATCTTATTATTTGATGGAGCATGTTCAAAGAAGGGCAACGAATCTGGTGAAAGGTCTAGAGCACAAGTCTGCTGAGGAGCGGCTGAGGGAACTGGGGTTGTTTAGCCTGGAGAAAAGGAGGCTGAGGTGACACCTCATCGCTCTCTACGACTCCCTGAAAGGAGGCTGTAGCCAGGTGGGGGTCGGTCTCTTCTCCCAAGTAACAAGCGATAAGGCAAGATGAAACAGCCTCAAGTTTGCGCCAGGGGAGGTTTAGATTGGATATTAGGAAAAATTTCTTCACCGAAAGGGTTGTCAGGCATTGGAACAGGCTGCCCAGGGAAGCGGTTGAGTCACCATCCCTGGAGGTATTTAAAAGACGTGTCGATGTGGTGCTTAGGGACATGGTTTAGTGGTGGACTTGGCAGTGCTGGGTTAACGGTTGGACTTGATGATCTTAAAGGTCTTTTCCAAACTAAACAATTCTATGATTCTAGCTATAAAGGAGAAAAGCCATTGTTGAGCCCCAGTCACCCACACATCATTTAGCCATATGTCTGAAGAGCTCTCCAGCCACAAGCATTCCAAAGAATTAGGGGTAAAAATATCAAGACAAAAGTCATATACTTCATAATTTGGAATTATTAGAAAAGTATATAAAGTATATAAAGTATATACTTACACAAAGTATAATTTTATACTCCCACTTTTGGAAGAAAAACAACAGGTTAGATGAGCCTTTCCAACAGACATGAATATCTCTACTAACCAGTATTTATTTATTCAGTAAAACAAATTAAGCTGCAAACCTAAAGGGTGGAGAGAATACATTTCTAAGAGAGTCTAACTGAACTGCCAGTTACCTTCTATAGAGAAATTAGGGAGTTTTTTTAAGTCATCTTTGACTCATTTTTGTAATGATCAAGACTATTCTCCCAACTCAAATGATAAATTTATAAAATCTTAACCACCTTAAAAATCGTGTAATTATCTTCCATCTAAACAAACTTCAAAGCTGTGGCTCCGCTGTTATGACATAGAGTTGCCCAACAACAACTATACATATTCTTGCCTACGTAATTTGTTTCCAGGTTTCAAGTATTGATTCTTCCAAAGGAAGTGGTAGAAGAGGGCTGGTTGGTAGCAATAGG